GCTGAGCTGCCAACAGGTGGCAGGATGGCTCAGCTAAAAAAAAAACCAAAAAAAAAACACTAACCACTTTGCAGTGTAAACTACTCAATGATGATAACTGGTATTATGATCTCAGTCCACACCACTTAAAGACCCCAAGACTCTCTCCTCATGCCACTACCAGCTAGCGCTGGTCAAACTAAACTGCAAAGGAACTAGCTGTCAAGGAGTCCGGCCCACTCGGGGAGATTTTCAAATTCAGGGCTCTCTCCTTTAACTATTTTTACCCTCCCATTCGGTTCCCAATAAATACTCTTAGGAAGGGAAAAGTAGGGACAAAGATGTCTGGATTTGAGAGGTCACGGGAATGGTTTTGTGAAAAACAGCCGGGACACACCGAGAGGAAGGAAAGAGCAGCTGCTCCAAGGCCAAAGCCTGGAGAATCCTGAGCGGCCGGACGAAGATCGAGAAGAAGGGGGGCCCTTTTGGACACAGGCTGAGGATGGGGGTCAAGATGCTTGGGGTAAAAGGGCAGCTGGGCCCGGGATGGGGAAACCCACGACGAATGGCGGCCTCGGACCACCACTAGGAGCCGGCCGCGGCAGGCGGGAATAGGACAAGTCCGGTCGGGAAGAGAAGGTTCCCGGGGGAGCTCAGGGGAGGCGAAGCCCCCGCCGCGCACCCACCTGCGAGTAGGAGCACTTCTCCGAGTCGCTGCCGCCCAGTACGGCGCACGCCTCATTCTCCAGCTCCTCGTCCTCCTCAAGTACGTCCACCAGCGATACCACGGGCTCCAGCTCTGACTGCCGCCCAGCGGGACCCTCAGCTCCGGCCATCCTCAACTGTCACCCAAACCCCAGCTCTGCTCTGGCGGAGGCGGGAAAAAGCGGCCGCGGGAGGCGTGGCCGGAGGAGGCGGATCCTGAGTGCCAGGAACCAATCCCAAAGAAGGAAGTGAAGGAAGAGGGAGGAGCAACTTCCGACAAACGGAAGTCACGCCTCTCCCTTCTCCCGCCTGCGCCCCGCGCGGGCAGATTTCCGCTTCCGGGTGGTACTTCCTTGTGGCGCGTCTGGAAGCTCAGCGGTTGCCATGGAGCTGTTGGGCGAGTACGTCGGGCCGGATGGACAACGGCAGCAGCTGGGGGTGTCTTGTGACTCGGCGGGCGACGCCGACCCTTTTCAGAGTCTGTTGTCCGGCATAGCCCAGATGAGGGAGCTGGTGGCTGAGTATTTCGACCCCCTGGCACAGTGGGAAGCTCAGGACCGGNTCGGATCCCACATATGAGGGCCAGTGACACTGCCCTCCACAGCTAAGATGCTGAACAACATCTCAACCTGGAGCTGGGCTGCCATGAGTCACCGGTGACGGCTTAGGCTGCAGCCCCTGTGGCAGTGGGTTGCCATGGGCTACCGTATGTAGCCAGCAGTCAGCGTGAGCGGCCAGCAGCCGCAGTGAGCGGCCGTCTAGAAGCCAGCGACTGATCTGCCTCGCCCGGGAAGAGTGCAATGATGGTGCCAACTTGGGCCAGTGAAGCAACGTCCTCCACAGCTGGACTGAAGAACAAAACAACAGCAACTTGTCTGTTCCCCTTCCCCAATTCGCCAATAAAAAATAATAAAAAAAAAATAAAAATCTTTAAAAAAAAAAAAGTTAAAGGTCATTTTTTGAATAATGTTTGGGGGAGTGGAGCAGGCAGGCAGAGAGGGAGAGGACAGGATAAGGTCCTAGCCTTGGGAAAGTCCTGTCCAATATTTCATTCTTATGATGTAAGAATGAGAATAGTTGAGTTTTGTACCAGTTATACATCCAGCCTAGGTTCATCAGGAGGGATAAATACAGAATCCTTTCACAACCCCCAAATCCCCCCTGAGGAGATAGAGGCCCAAATGTGACAAGAGGCTGAAGAATAAAGGCTGGAGATGACACGCTCCCAGGTGTTAACCACCAGCTTTCTTACCTCATCTTCAGGATCAGGATAAGGTCTCTTGCAAATGCAGTACAATCCAAAAAAGTTGTCATTGTATTTATTGCCAGAATTTATCTTTGCTTTGTCCTGAAAGGTATTAATTTCAATACTTAATATGCTCTAACTTTAACTATAATTTCATGCATCAGAGATTTCTGTATTCAAAACATTTCTGCATTTTATATCTTTCCCCCAGAAGCTGGTCTTTAACTTTCAAAGTACAAACAAAAAGAATTCACTCCTATTAAAGGGATACCTTTCACAGGATACAGGGAAAAAAGATAAATTATTTTTTGTACATTCTTTGTAGAAATTGGGGAAAACTGAATACACCTATTTAATAAAATAGTGATAAAAGTTAATCATCAGTATTATCAACTATGTTAACTGACATTGGCCTAGAATTTTAAAGTACTTAATGCCCAGCTGTAATAGCCAAAGCCTCCAGGTTACTAAGAGGTAATAAAAAGCAGTCAAGAAAACTGTCTAAAATAAACTTCAAAGAAGAGAAAAGCAAGACAGTTTTAGCAATTATGATTGAATAATATAAAATCACTTACTTTCTCTTCCATTCCTGTTATTTCAGTAAAAGTTATTGTATAAGCATAGTTTTTATTAGCCAAAAAGCAGCATCTAGCCCACATTCATTATTACCAAGTTTTGTTTAGTCAGTTTTCAGTCATACCCTCTGCTTTTTTAAAACCCGCAGAGCATGAGCACAACTAATATAATTCAACCTGAATTACTTCAAAGAAAATTTCCCCAAAACCTTTCATATTTATTACAATGTATACTGTAGGCTCTGAATAGGTTATTTAATTTTCTAACATGGTAAAAAAAAGAAGTCTAATGTTGATTTGCCCATTTGCAAAGAATAAGCATAAGAACTTCCCTTTTGGAAAATATTTGGTTTTTATCCACTTTGTCAAATATCAGTCTCAGCTACTTTTGATGCATTCAGTTACAGTGCTTACTTACAGGAAATAATTTGCATTCCAAATTTTTAAACTTGCTGTTTCCACAATCACAACGAAAATTTCTGAAACAAAGTTAGAAAGAGCCAATTTTAATTTTTCTTTTAAATCTAAAGACTTCTTTAAATTCATATCGTAGCCTCTTTCCTTTCAACTCATTTCTAGGATTTAAAAAGTGGCCTTGGTTGCAGTACAATCCAAAAAAGTTGGATACATGCTGCTCATGTATCCGATTCAGAATTTCTCCCAGCACATAACAATAAAAGATTTAATAATTCTGGGAATTAAAATGCATAGAGATAAATATCCACAGATACACATAAATTAATGGCAGGGAAGGATTTGAGTTTGTACCATAATTAAATTTTAAAAGCCTCTTGGGAAAAACTGTTGTCTCAAATTACATAGAACAATTATAATAAATTTTACCAGTACACAGCTACTTTGAATAGAAAAGCAAGATTGAGACAAAAAGTACAGCTGGGAAAGACTCTAAACATTTAAAAAATATTCAGCATCAGTCCCTGACTGTCTTTACCTTTTCGTGTACAGCTCAAATAGTTTATGACTTCCATGACATTCATAACTGCAAGCTAGGCAAATTCCTGCTGGTTCTTCTCCCTCTGGGGTGCACGTACTACAGGCATATAGTGCTTGTCTCTTTACTGAGCCCTAAAAGACAGCCCCAAAATGAAAAAAGAGAGAATGAATTAATGAAGTATGGCATAATGACCTAATAACCAAACTGTGATCTGAGAAATAATTGAAATCAGATTATCTGTGGTCAAGATCTTCTTGTAAAAACCACTAAAACTAATAAAAAAGCTTGCACAAGAGCACTAAAACGCTGTTGCATGTTTCTTATCACTATATGTGTACTATACTAGTGCTTGTTTTCATATAATTTTTCTTACAGTGATAGTTTAATATTTTCAGTCAGCTGTGAATAAGCTTGTCTGCTTAATAATTTTAACGCATGAAAATGTAGGTGAATGTGTGTAGGTTTGTGTAAGTAACATCACACTTTAATTCTGGGAAATGACTGATTCCACCAAAGAGAAAATCAGTGCATTAAAAGAATTCCTTAGATTTTTAAGAGATGCGTGTTGAAGTATTTAGAGGTATAATATCATGATATCTGGAACTTTCAAATGGTTCAGCAAAAAAACAAAGGACAAAAGTAAATTATAAAGAAGAGGAGAAAGATAAATGTAGTAAAATGTTTGAAAAATGAGTATACGTAAGAGGTACACAAATGTTCATAATAGTCTTTCAATCTGTTGGTAGATTTAAAATGTTTCAGAATAAAAATTTGAAGGAAAAGCAGGCAAAACTTTTCGAAATCTTGGTAATAGAAACCCTCCTCTAGGAAGGAGGGAGTTTCAGGGATGCCAGTGATGTTCTACTCCTTGATCTGGGTGGTAGGTACCTGCATGTGCTTGTTTTCAACCCTACACATAATCTAGGCAATTTGCCACATATTTTACTACAGTAGAAAAGAAATATTTAAGAAAATCTATTTTATAAAGCTGGCTACACTCCAAAAAAA